GCCATTTCCCGTCGCAAGCTGCTCGCTCAGCCTCGAGAGGCCTTCATTGTAATACGCACACGCAAGAGCCCCAAACCTGCGCCGAACGACAACCCTCCCCATCCGAACGCTTGCGAATTGGGGACCCTCGCCCAATTGGCCTGTCACCTGTTACCTGTAGCATTCCTGCGACGCGGACTTAAGGCAAGAGTCACCTCCTCCCGAAATCACGCACACGGACCTACTGGCCGGAAAACCCGTGTCCCGCTGCCTCGTTCGTCTGTCGCAGCCCATACATCACTCGGAAGGCCTTCGACCGCTAAATCGCTCTCAGACACCAAAGTCTGTCCCTCTCCCGTGAGAACCGCGCCATCTCGATAACCATGTCGTTTTTGTATCCCCAACGGGATACGTTCCAGTCATGCTTTGCGTCTCCTCTGGCGCCGGCCGCTCCGAAGCGCACGTCGTTGGTCCCCGGCCCGACCAAGTACCAGGCCCGGCCTGAGTTGTACGGCGCCTACTCGACCGTCGATGATGTCAAGGGCAAGGCCCAAAAACTCAGCAGCGAGGCGGCCAAGGAGTTCGAGAAGGCCTCCGCCGCCGCCCAGGCCAAGGCTGGCCGGATCGAGCTCTACTCTGGCAGGTACTATGCCGCCTGCACCTTTGGCGGCCTGATGGCCTGTGTGAGTAGAGAAGAGCCTGCCCCCGCTCAAACGTGTTGCTTGACCCCCATCTGACCAGCCTGCAGGGCCTCACGCACTTTGCCGTCACTCCGCTTGACCTCGTCAAGACGCGCCGCCAGATCGACTCTAAGCTGTACACGGGCAACTTCCAGGCCTGGGGCAAGATCTTCCGCGGCGAAGGTGTGCGCGGCATCTTCACCGGCTGGAGCCCGACTCTCTTCGGCTACTCCGCCCAGGGCGCCTTCAAGTATGGATGGTATGAGTTCTTCAAGAAGCAATACTCGGACATTGCCGGCCCCGAGAATGCCCAAAAGTACAAGACGGTTCTGTATCTGACTGCGTCTGCTTCGGCCGAGTTCCTCGCCGACCTTGCCCTCTGTCCCTTTGAAGCTGTCAAGGTGCGCATGCAGGGCGGCATCCCGTCTCCTTACAGCGGCACGCTCGACGGCATTCGCACCATCGCGGCCAAGGAGGGCGTGTCCGGGCTGTATAAGGGCCTCTACCCTCTCTGGGGTCGTCAGATCCCCTACACTATGATGAAGTTTGCATCCTTTGAGACCATTGTCGAAATGATCTACGACCGCCTGCCTGGTCAGAAGAGCGACTACAGCAAGGGCGCCCAGACCGGCGTCTCCTTTGCCGGTGGCTATCTGGCCGGTATCCTCTGCGCCATCGTCTCTCACCCTGCCGATGTCATGGTCAGCAAGTTGAATGCCAACCGTGCGCCCGGCGAAGCGTTTGGCGGTGCCCTGAGCCGCATCTACAAAGATATTGGCTTCTCCGGGCTGTGGAATGGTCTTCCAGTGCGCATCGTCATGATTGGCACTCTGACTGGTCTACAGTGGATGATCTATGTGAGTTTCAAGTGCCTGTTCCACCATGCATAAAGACACTAACAGTGGCTGTAGGACTACTTCAAGATCTTCATGGGTCTCCCAACGACAGGCGGTGCGTCACAGGCCGTGGAGAAGAAATGAGAAATGCACGAGTGCGTGAAGAGGTGTATTCGGGCTGCACCGAGTAGGTCATCGGTTGCCGAGTGGTGCTATCCGTAGAAACTAGGAATACTTTGCTCGTCGCAACATTGACTGACTCAAAACAAGATGACACAGGTGCCGCGATGGCACCGATAGAGGGTCATATGTGAAGGGCTATGAACTTCAATTGCCCGCATACAGAAAGCGGGACGATTGACTGGAGCATGTCGAACCATTCCGTTGCGACCGGCGACGCCGACAGCTGCAGCTGCAGCTGCAGCAACACACCCTTCCTCGGGAACCATGGCGTAGGCGGGTTATCTCCCGCGCTTGTCGCCCGGCCGCCTGCCCGCCCACTTGCAGCTTGGGGCTGGCCACTCACCCGAGAACGCAAAAGCTAGATTGGTCAGCTCTTCTGCGTGCGATGTGGGACATATTATCCTTTGCATGTCCGTAGAGCAGGATGAAAGCCGCCTTGGCGTCTCATCTTTCTCTTCCTGAGTCCTCTATCGAGAGGGTAGACGGATCTTACGGCCTTGGCTCATGCTGAGGTAAGCGCATCTCTCGTAGCCACGACGTCATGGGACACATGGTGTACACAAGGAGAGGAGCAGTAGAAGTTGGGAATGTGGACTCGGGAGGTTGACGCAGGAGGATAAGCCAAGAGAATACGCCACCGGGGTATCGGCTGGAGTGCTTGCGACTTTTCGGTCCTGGGTTCCGGAGGGTGCTGGCTTGGGTGGGGGAGTGAGACGTGGTTGGTGGGATGTTGTCGCTGTTTTAGGCGGCCGGATGTTTTTGCTCAGCCATCCATGGAAGTAAAGGGTCGTCTGGCTGGCAGGCTTAGTGGAAAGTTACACGATACAAACTTTTGAGGGCAACATCGGGAAAAGCGGCGGAATCAAAGAACGTGGCCGATGGCATACCGCGCGGTGATGTTCAGGTGGAAGGGGGGGGACGAGGACTCCTGGACGCGTGGTTCTTACGACGCAAAGGAACAGGTGGCCAGCAAAGGCCACACATCTCTCTTCTTCTCCATGGAGAAGGAGATTTCTCAATCCATCGTTCGCGGGGAAGGGGCGGAGCACCACGGCTCAAGCCAGATCAACAAAGCATCGACGGTCGAGTCGAACAAGCTGGGAAGATGCCAGACCATCAGCGGCAAAGTGTTGAGCAGCATGGGCGCGAACGCCAACGGCCCCGCACCCGCAGAATGTGGGAGGGAGGGGTGGACAGGTACTGCAGCGAGTAAGCACGCGGCTAGCTTGACGATTCCTCTCGAGATGGCCCGAATGAAAGGCGGGGGAACCAATGGGTTCCAGATCAAATGACCAGGGCTGTCAGATCCGCGAACGAGTCTGATGAGCGCAACATGTGAGACGGGAGGTGTTGCTGTGCACTGCAATAGAGGTCGAGCACGCTTGAAGTTCTTTCAGAAACTGGTGACGCCTGGTAGGAACGCCAAGGACGGCCTCGTCTGGGGGCCCTAAGGATTGACTTTTGCATCCAAGTCCGTGGCGGCCGTGGAGTTCCCTGGAATCGAACATTTCTGACAGATTGTCTCTTGAGCGAGAATTGCACGGCAAACTCAATCGACACGGGGCGCCAAGCAGCGACCCACGGCATTGGGTGACACGCGAAGGGCGCCGCCCGCCGCCAGCAACAATGGGTTGTATCCATAACGCTGGAGTGATGGATGAGACGGAGACGAGGGGTGAGAAGGTTGTAGAATAAACAACCACTGGCGCTGTGGCGAGTGTCTTCTGGTACGTGTGACAGGTGGCAGCCTGTGTCCGCCGATTTGGTTGGGGATCGGTTAAAGTCGTCGCTCGTTGGCTGGCCTGGACATTGATCAGCCATCGACAAAGGAACGGCACAGACGTACCAGCAGGATGAAGTAGCTCGTCTCGTCGAGTCGTGTCGGGGCGCTGAGTCGCTGGGCTCCCGTTGCTGTCGGTCGATTCGGGGCATGTCGCTACAGACGGTCCCGACTCCCTGTTCAGGCTGTGAACAGGGGGCCCTGGGAGGCGCAATCGCCAACGCGCCAACCCCATGTCGCCCCCCCATCTCGTCCTAGTGTTGCACTGGCGGATGGACTAGGCCAAGGCAAGCCAGGGGTGTGCGGTGTCGGTGACGGCGTCGGAGTTTGGAGTCAGTGTCCTGTGTGGTGCTCAGGAGTCGGCTGATGGGTGGCCAGGAGGAGATGTTCGAGACGGAAAGGCAAAGGGCGGAGGGCCTAAGATGAAGAGATGGCAGGGGGCAAGATGGGAGATGGAATGAGAGAGATGCACTGCAGTTGGAGAGGCACGAGACGGGGGAGGCTGACATTGCCCACAGACGACATGGTCCAGTACGAACAGGGGAAGGCAGAGGCAAGCAGGCGCCATAGAGCAGCCCGTCTGCTTGTCTCTCGGTTGCCCCTGCCTCTCCCGCTGTTCCTGAGGTGTTCCTGCTCCCTGTTGCTCCCTGCTGCTCCCCCAAACCCCCTCCCCATTGCCCCCCCCCTTAGCCCCTGCCCCCCCTGCCCCCATGCCAGGCTGCACCTGCTCCTGCGGCACAACACCTGCAACGTGCCTCTCCTCCAGCTTTCCCCGCCACTGAAAGCACAGATCAGGCCGTAGCAGAGTAGCAACGGTGGAGGGCCTAGGCACTAGCCTCCATCGGACCAGTGTCAGGCCCTGGCTCTTGGGTCTCGCTCTGGCCCTTCTGGCTCTGGCTCTGGAAGTGGAAGCGGAAGTGGAAGCCTTGGTCTGCGACCCTTTTCCCTCACTGTATCCCACTCTCATCTTCGCTCCCTCAGCTACTTGCACCATTGCTACTGCTCCTCCACCACCTCCACCTCGCGTACGCCTTCATTGACGCACGCTTCCTCCCCCAGCCTGCCCGACGCTGCTCTGTCGTCTTCTGGGATCGACCACAACATCGAAGGCATATCCCGTTGAGCAACGCCGCCCCGCTCGACGACGCGATTCGCCTGGCTGTCGACCCATTGGATCTCCCGTCGTCGCCTCGCCACCATCGCGCACTCATTCACGTTCTGTACTCGACGCTCGACGCTCGGCGCCAGCCATTGTCGTCGCACACAGCAACTCCAGCTGTTAGATAGAGACTATACGAGCACGGGTCATTATTTCGCATACGTCCGAGCATCAACATCCAGCAAGCGTACCGCAGCCGTCCTCCCATCCTCTGCCCAACCGTACATCAACCCAGACCGCGGCATAGATCTCAGCAACGCCACACCAATTTCCGACATTGGCCATTTCGTGTTGTCCGAGAATATTTTCAGATCGCATTCGAGGCATCGTTTAATACAAAGAGGCCACCGAGTGCTTTTGTGCCCTCATTACAAATCGCCACCATGGCAGGATTCCTTAATAAGCTGAAGAGCGCGGGAACAGTACGTTGCGAGGATGCAGACTTGCGCGCCACGTCGCCGGATCAGCTTCCCTTGTGGTAGCCACCGGTATATTCAAGTACTTTTGCTGACGCGGAATTTTCACACAGGGGACCACGAGTCCCGCGGGCAAAGATGCTGCAGCCAAGAAGAAAGAAGCTCTCGAGCCGCCCCCAGAAATCACGCCTCTGGAGAAGATGCTTCAAAATGCTGGCCCTCTGCGAGACGACGGCACCGACCGCTTCTTTGGTCTCGAGAACGTGAGTCTTGCCCCCCCATTCGCCCTTGCCTCTTCGGCGAGACACCAATAGCTAATCGCTTCTTCTAGTTCGGCAACACATGGTAAGCCTTTTACCGCTTTCCATCATTTTTCTGGTCTCCGCTAACTGAACAAGTTACTGCAACTCGATTGTGCAAGCACTATTTTACCAGGATGTTTTCAGGCAAAACGTCGTCAACTACCCGCCCTACTCCCCATCCGAAACACCCAATGGCGACGGCACGCGGCCCAAGGTACAAGTGAGCATCCGACCGCCGATGAAGAAGGAAGAACCGGTCAACCCAGCAGCGAAGCAAAAGGTGAGTGCGTCCGAGGCCATGCGCCGGCGACAGGCTGCCAACCTGCCGCCCGTTCCTGGCCAACCTGGTCTGCGGCCTGAGGACCGGCCGGATGCACCCGAGTATAAGAAGAAGCAAGCCATGATCAAGGGCCCCGTCGTCGAGCTGAACCAAGAAAACGCCGACCCATATGGCATGTCCGAATGTACATTCACCGGCCTGAAAGACATTTTTGGCGCCTTGATGCAGAGCGAAGACCGCGTCGGCGTTCTGAGCCCCCAGAGATTCCTCGAGATCTTCAAGCGCGACAACGAAATGTTCCGAAACTCAATGCACCAGGACGCACACGAATTTTACGGCCTAGTCCTGAACGATGTGATCGCGAATGTGGAGCAGAACGCTAGGAGGATCCAGGAGAGAGAAGATGCGAACGCTAGCGCCGGTCTGGCGCAATCCGTGGAGAACGCGCTCGGTGCGGGAGTCTCTAGCCTAGTGCCCCAGGTGAACGGTGGTGCCAGGTCTCCGGGCACCGGATGGGTGCACGACATTTTTGAGGGCGTCCTTACCTCCGAGACGAAGTGCTTGACTTGCGAGACAGCATCTCAAAGAGATGAAACCTTCCTCGACTTGTCGATCGATCTGGAGGAACACTCCTCCGTCACTTCGTGTCTTCGCAAGTTCTCGGCAGAGGAGATGCTTTGCGAAAGGAACAAGTTTCACTGCGATCACTGCGGAGGCCTTCAGGAGGCAGAGAAGCGTATGAAGATCAAGCGACTGCCGAAGGTCCTCGCACTGCACCTGAAGAGGTTCAAGTACACGGAGGACTACAGTCGGCTGCAGAAACTCTTCCACCGCGTGGTGTACCCTTACCACCTGCGCATGTTCAACACCACGGACGACGCGGAGGATCCCGATAGGCTGTACGAGCTCTACGCGGTTGTTGTTCACATTGGAGGTAACGCCTACCACGGACACTACGTGTCGGTGATCAAGACGCAAGATCGAGGCTGGCTTCTATTCGACGATGAAATGGTGGAGCCGGTCGACAAACACTTTGTGCGCAACTTCTTCGGCGACAAGCCCGGCACGGCGTGCGCCTACGTCTTGTTCTACCAGGAAACCACGTTTGAGAAGGTACAGGCCGAGATGGAGGCCGAGGGACTGGAGGAGGTGAAGATTGCCAACGAAACGGCGAACCTCGCATCGGAGAATGGCCAGGGCAACGGCAACGTCATCCCTCTGACAAAGCAGAGCACGCAGCCGCTGAGCCCCAGCCTTGAGAGGGACACAAGCAACAGTCTCGCGCACGCTCAGACGGCGCCGGGCATGGTCGAGGCGCCACCACGAGAATCGTTGACGGACAACCCCCTGCCCAAGACGCCCAACCCGTTGACGACGGTTCCATCTTTCCCCGCGGCGCCCCGCGTGGAAACTCGAGGATCGACCAAGGAGGACAAGAAGCGCGAGAAGAGGGAACACGAAGCGGCGGAGAAAGTGCGCAAGCAGGCCGAAAAGGACAAGCGCAAGGCGGACGAGAAGCACTCGAAGGAGATGCAGCAGCGCAGGCGAGAGCAGAGCATCAGGGAAAACGAAGAGATGCGCAGGGCGGTGGAGGAGAGCCGCAAGATGGCAGAAGAAGAAGAGAAGAAGAACAACAAGGACGCGGGGGCGAGCCCCGGGGGGATCCTGAGTCGCGCCAACCGCGGCAGCAAGTCGATGACGAAGAAGAGCTTCAGCTTCCTCAACAAGGACAGATCCGACACGGGGGAGAACGGCGCGAACGGTGACGGGTCGTCGAGCCCGGCGGAGAGCAAGCTCAAGGACCGATTCAGCTTCAACCTCGGCCGCAGGAAGAGCAGCAACCTGCTGTCGTGAGGGCGTGTGTGGGGTGTTTTATGCAGGTGTATTCAGTGGTCCAATTTCGATTCTCAGTCATGTCCATATGGGAGGGTTGTATAGTTTTCAGTTGTCTGAAGCGGTTGACATTGGGAAGGGCTGTCCGACTACGGCGTGCGTCGAGCGGCCGTGGCGGCACGCCGCAGGGTTTATTGCTAGAGATTGGCGGGTCGCCAAACCTGGTACCTACCTAATTCATGGATGGGGGCAAAATTAAAAAGAAGGCACATGCACGCATGGCGTCATGGCATCGGAGAGCTTTTGTTATCGGATTGCATGTGTCTCGGTTGTGTACATGGTGGATGTTGTACATGGTGCCCACTGTCAAACCAGATTCAACAAAACTGGCTTGGGTTCGCTGGAATAGCACGGCAACCGTTTGTCCTTTGTATTTGCTCTCGCGTGAAGCTCGCCATGTCGCTTCGGCCGTCATACCTCGAGCCCGCGCCTGCGGCTCGTTTCGTTTCCCTCAAGCCGTGAACGCCATGTCTCTTTTGTCAGGGCATGCATGTGTGTGTGTGTATGTGTGGCCATGAACGCGTACCCGCCTCCTCAAGCTGTCGCTTTTTGCCCTCATGCCGTCACCTCCATATTTTGGTTCGTGAAATCCCTCCCCCACGGGTAGAAAGATGGCTTATCCGAGGACGAGCTCGTACAGGATGACAATCGTGTTGATGCCTATCAGGGGTACTGTGAAGGTCGCACGTCAGCATCTTCGTTCCTTGTCTGCACCAAATGGGGAACCGGCCGTACTTCTCATGAGGGTCCTGACGCTGGCGATGAGGTTGATGATCTTGGCCTTGACGCTGGCGTCGGCGCCCTGGCCGAAGGCTGGGTCGTAGGAGGCGGGGGAGAGGTTGACTAGTGAACGGTCTGGTGAGCCTTGGGGAGAACATGGGACACGAGATGAGGAAGGGCGTACTGCGGGCGAGGAAGCGGTCTTCGGAGAGGATCGCTACGGCGTTGATGAGGAGGCTGCGAGGATCGGGTTGTGTTTAGCTGGCGTCACTTTGGTCTGCGAGCGCGGGGGCCCTCAGGGGGGGGGCGGGGGGGGGATTCGATTTACATGGCGACTGCGGTGGGGTTAGCTTGGTTACGGTCGGAGGTGGAAGGGGGAGGGCCGTACTGTAGAGGAAGTTGCCGATGAGATACATGACGACGGTTGGTGCTGCATGCAGTGAGGGAGGGGGGTGGGTGTTGAGGTTGATCTGTCGAGTGAAGGGCGATGCGGCGATGCGATGGGAGCCTGGCGACGGCGGCCGTGGTGTTTAGTCGTGTCCTTGTCCTGTGTTGCGTCGAGTGCTGTGCTGGGTGAGCTGTGACGAGACGGATAAGGAAGGCGGTGACCGGCGGATGGATCATCTTGCAGGCCGACGTTGATGGGGACAGCCACCAGAGCCCCTGACGACAGCCCTTCAGGTACGTACCTCACTGAGTGCCTCACTGAGATAGCCACTTCGAGGCAGGTACCTGGATACACTTGGCCTCTGCCTTGTACCCAAACACCAGACTGTATGTACGACAGCCTCGTCAGAGTCACTTACTTTATCATCAATGAGGCTGTGAGTAATGACCTGGTTTTGTTCTCCCATGCCAGAGATGTCATAGCTGTCACACTTCCTTCCGTCACCCTTACTTCAAGATGAAGCCCCTCGGTATGTTGCCTCACCACCAAAGAAGGCGGCCATCACTAACATCACCAGATGTCCTTCTAGCCTCTCTCATCCCAGCCACCATTCTCTTCCATCTCCTTGCAGCTCCCTACACCAAGGTCGAGGAGTCCTTCACCATTCAGGCAACCCATGACATCCTCGTCTACGGCACGCCGACCCGCAACATCAACGCTCGCTTCCATGCCGTCTACGACCACTTCACGTTCCCGGGCGCCGTTCCACGGTCCTTTGTCGGACCGGTCATGCTAGCAGGCATCAGCCAGCCCATCGTCGCCATCTTTGGCTTCCAGCATGCTCAGATGATCGTTCGTGGCGTGCTGGGCATGTGCAACGCCGCCGCCCTGCTCTACTATGCGCATTCCGTCAAGAGAGGACTCGGCCAGAGCGCGGCGCGCTGGTGGACCGTCATGACCGTCAGCCAGTTTCACATCATGTTCTATGCCTCGAGGACGCTGCCCAACATGTTTGCCTTTGGCCTCAGTACGTCTGGTGCCGCCTGGCCGACTCGACATTGGCCTCTTTGACTGACCAAAACACAGCCACCGTCTCGTCGGCCCTGCTCCTGCCACACCCCGACCAGGCTCGAAAGGCGTCGCGCATCCGCATTTCCATCTCTCTTCTCGTCTTTGCCGCCGTCATCTTCCGCTCCGAAGTCGCCCTCCTCCTGTGCACCACGGCAGCGACCCTGCTCGCGACGCGCCAGACGACCCTCGGCGCCCTCCTCCCCGGCTTCATCGTGTCGTCGCTCGCGGCCCTCGTCCTCTCGGCGCCCCTCGACTCGTACTTCTGGCAGACGCCCCTGTGGCCCGAACTCTGGGCCTTTGCCTTCAACGTCCTCCGCGGCGGCGCCTCCGACTGGGGCACCTCTCCCTGGCACTACTACTTCACCTCGGCCCTGCCGCGCCTCCTCCTCAACCCGACGGCCCCCTTCCTCATCGCCTCGGCCGCCCTCCACCCGGCCACGGCGCGCACAGCCCGCCTCCTCGTCGCCCCGAGCCTCGCCTTTGTCGCCATCTACTCCCTGCAGCCCCACAAGGAGGCCCGCTTCATCTTCTACGCCGTCCCGCCCCTCACCGCCGCCGCCGCCCAGGCCGCCGCCCTGACGACGGCCCGCGCCGCCAAGTCGCCGCTCGCCCGCCTCGCCACGGCCGCCACGACCGTCGCCGTCTTGGCTTCCGCCGCCGCCGCCGCCGCCCTCCTCGCCCTCTCCTCCCTCAACTACCCCGGCGGCGAGGCCCTGTCCCACGTCGCCCGCATCGCCGCCCTGGCCCCCGCCACACCCCCGGCCCCCGCCGCCGCCGTTCACGTCGACGTCCTCTCGTGCATGACGGGCGTGACCCTCTTCGGCCAGAACCCCACCGGCCGCCCTGTCCTCCTCGCGCCCGACGACGCCGGGCTGCGCTTCGACAAGACGGAGGACGCGGCGCGGCTGAAGAGGCCCGGCTTCTGGCTCGGCTTCGACTACCTCCTCGTCGAGGACCCTGCCGTCGTGGCCGGCGGCCGGTGGGAGACGCTCGGCGTCGTCGAGGGGTTCGCCGGCGTCGAGGTGCTCAGGCCGGGGGGCCGCGATGTCGAGGCGGCTGCTGCCCCTGGTCCTGGTCCCGTCGTCGGCAGGGGCCGCGTCGTGGCTGCGGTGCGGGAGGCCGTCAGGGCCGTGACGGGCGGGTGGTGGGTTGGGCCGCGGATGGAGCCGAGAGTGTACATTCTCAAGAGGGACAAGGTTGGTGCTGTGGTTGTAGGGACGTAGTCTGGCGCAGCCGTGCGCGGTGGCCCGTCTTGGAGATACGACGCCGACATGGGTCGTCGTGTTCCAGTGGCAAGAGATGGTTCACTCGACAAGGCGAATATGGAGCAACGTCCAGTCAGATGGATCATCGTGTATTGTCGCCGTCGTGCCATACGACCAATCTGCGCCCATGGTCTTCAAGGCCTACTACCGACTTGAATGACAGCGGCCTACGTGTGTATGCATCCCGGCAGCACGCGAACGACGCAAGTGATAAAAAAAAGCACAGCGTTAGACCTCCCTGCTACCGGCTGCCTGCCTCCGTGTCCATCATCCCCATATACCCCCATCTCCGCGACGTGTGTAGTGCGCGGGAAGAAGACCGAAAGAAACCCCCAAAGCGATCCCATTCCTCATGATCCAAAATTGGATCCGTCGATCACTCCGCAGCCATCATCAGACAGGTCCCGTCCAGTCATCGACTCGAAACCCACCGACCATCATCCAAACCGTCGGCTAGCACAACAACACCAGAAAATAGTATGTATATATATAGATATAATTGGTAACGCAGTGGTCGGCGCCGGGTATCGCCCCCCCCCTCCCTTTCCCTCCCCGTCAAGCCCCGTACCTCCATGGCGCCGTGCTGAAGCGAATGCTGAATGTCGAATGCCGCAAAAGTCGTTAAGTATCCGGTACGTTAGCGTGTGTGTGTGTGTGTGTGTGTGTGTGTGGGTTTGCTGTGTGTTTTGTGTGGCCGCCGTGCTTTCCTGCGCCGCCGCCTCCTACACGATGTTGTGTCCCTTGAGCAACGCCGTGCTCCTGAAGCAACGCCGCGCGCCTTAGTTACTCCTGCTCCGTGTCGCTGCCCTCCTCGTCCGAGAGGCTCTGGAGCTCGCCGAACCGCGCCTTGTAGCGCTGCAGCTCGGCCATCTGCGCGGCGACCTGGGCGAGCACGTCGGTGATGGGCGCGCGCAGCTCGTTGAGCTGCCCGATGGGCGCCCTGCCGTTGGCCATGTGCCGGAGCGCCAGCGTCGTGGTGCACGTCTGTCGGTCGTCGGTCAGTACCACGGTTCACAGCCACTACGCAACAAACACACGTCGACACGACGTGCCAGGGAGGGCACTCACCTCGACCCTGCTCACTTGGTGCTCCATAAAGTTGAGCAGGAACCGCTCCGTCACCTCGCCGCCGCGCTGCTTCATGCGCTCGAGCAGCTCCGTCTCGGGCGCCTGCAACGCGCGGCCGCTCTCGTTCTCCAGCGTGCTGCACAGCATCTCGAGCCGCAGGCTGACGCGCCAGAGGCCCCAGATGAGGTCCGGATCAAAGGCGAGCTCGCTGCCGGGCTGCATGGTCGCCGGCTTCTCGACCTCGATGCCGCGGTCGTGCTGCTGGTGCTGCTCGGCGCGGCCGATGAGCGCGTGCGGGTACAGCGAGTAGACGACCTCGGGGTTCTCGAGGCCCTTGAGCTTGCGCTCGCCCATCTCCTTGACTTCGAAGCCCTGCGAGCTCAGGGACCGCAGGTCGCGCCGGATCGCCGCCGCGAGGCTCTGGTCGTCGTCAAAGGCGTCGTCCGACCCCGTCGACCCGTTGCGGTCCGTGTCCTGCGACGTCTCCAGGCACCGCTGCACCTCCGAGATGAAGTCGGACGACACGGTGATCTGGCCGCCGTCGGCCACGGCCGAGATGCGCGACGCCTTGTTGACCATGGGGCCGAAGTAGTCCATGCGCCTAGTCACCGGATCCATCTCGTTGACCGCCTCGCCAAAGTGTATGCCCATGCGCACCGACAGGCCCTTGAAGATGAGCGCGTTGTCCTTGTCGAAGAGCGGCTGGCAGGACACCGAGTTGAGCACCTCGGGCGGCCAGTTGACCTCGAGCAGCGAGATCTGCACGGCGAAGCACCACAGCAGCGCCGACGTCGCCGTGGGGAAGGACACCATGAACGCGTCGCCTTCCGTCTTGACCTCGTAGCCGCCGATGCGCCGCAGCTGGCGCCGCATGACCTCGTTGTGCAGCTTGATCGCCGACCGCATGGCCGAGGGATACATCTCCCAGAGCGTCGTCGAGTTCTTGATGTCGGTGAAGACGATGGAGATCTGGCCCGTGGGCGCGGGGATCTCGGCCTCGAGTCGCTGGAGCGTCGAGTCGAGCACGTCGCCGGCCTTGGTCTTCTTGCCGCGGCGCGGCAGGCTCTGCAGGTCTTCGGGCACGCCGGACGGGTACAGCGACATGCTCTGGCCGCGGTGCAGCCTCGAGCGCTCCATCCGCCTCTTGAGGTCCGAGACGCTGAGCAGCATGATCATGATCTTGCTGGCCGAGCCGTAGGCGGTGGCCAGGTCGCGGAGCTTCTGCGACGCCCGCATGAGGTCGCCGCGCTCGGACCGGACGACATCGACGATGAGGCCCGGCGACATGTACTCCCAGAGCTCGCGCGTCGCGAGGAGGATGATGTCGTCCGACTCGCGGATCGTCACGTTGCTGACGTAGGGGGCGGCCTGCACCGAGGGCATGAGGCCGACGTAGCCGAAGGCGCGCGAGACCTCGAGCAGGTCGTTGAGCTTGCCGTTGCGCGACACCCAGCCGCCCGCCTCCCGGATGCGCTGGCGTTCCGTCGGCTCGGCGGGGTCGTGCTTGCGCGTCAGGATCTTGTGCGAGCCGTCGGTCTGGATGAGCATGGCCTGCGCGTCGCCGACGTTGGCGACGAACAGTTCGGTGCCCTGCAGGTACACGACCGTCGCGACGCCGCCCGAGTTGAGATCCTCCTTGCTCAGCACCACGGGCTGCGCGGCCACCTTAGGCCCCGGTCCGGTGGTGACGGGCCTGTCCTCGCTGTGCTGGGTCGCCACGGTGACGAGGTCCTTGTTCAGCGAGAGGAAGGCCCGCCGGAGCGCGTCGGCGGGCGTCTCCTGCAGGCGCGGCTTGAGCTGCTTGAGCTCGTGCGCAAAGATGTGGCCAAAGTTCTCGTGAAGGTACTTGGCAATCTTGGACCCGCCCGTGGTCAGCGCTTGCCCGTCGAACAGACCGAGCAGCGTCTCCGTGTCGGACGAGTTGAAGCGCGGCACGACGAGATCGACGGTCGACAGGTGCTCGTTCTTGCCGAGCGTGTCGGCCATGCCGTACGGCAGGTGGCCGGCGAGGGAGCCGGACGTGCGCACACGGCGGTCGTCGCTCTGGTCGGGAATCGTGGGCTGCGTCAGCGTGACGTCCATCAGACCGAGCACGCGCAGGTTCTGCAGCCTATTGAAATCTGCGAGCTGCTCGCGGCTGGCGGCGCCCGGCCCGACGACCGTCTGCTTGATCTCGAGGCGCTTGTTGCCCGACAGGTTGAGGTACCGCAGCTTGGGGTTCAGGTTCCAGTTCCAGTCGTAGGGCACGTTGGCAATGTTGTACTTGAGCGAGTTGTTGCCGCAGTCCAGCACCGTGAGTTTCTTAGCCCGCGATATGTCGGCCGGCAGATTGGTGAACTTGTTGCCGTTGATGTGCAGCACCTGCAGGAGGCTGCTGTCCTCGAGGTCGTCCGCCGGCAGCGTCGTCAGCTCGTTGCCGGACAGGTACAGCTCGACGAGCTGCGGCCACGCCTTAATGGACCGCTGCGGCATGTCGCCAATGTCGTTGTAGGAGAGGTTGAGCACGCGCAGCTCGTTGAGCATGGTGATCTGGTCAAACGCCTCGTCGTCGAGCTGGTTGTCGGCCAGATACAGGTTGCGCAGGGAGCCCGCGAACGTGCTCTGGAGCCGGGCCGAGAGCCCCGAGTCTTTCCTCGTGCCGACGACGGGCGGCGGCGGCGGGACGGTGCCCTGCGAGGTCGATCGGGACATGACCGACGTCTTCCTGCCGCCCTTGCCGTAGATGGACACGACGGAGCTCTTGCGGTCCGGGCCGGGCGGCACGGGCGAGGGGCCGACGCTGAGCAGCGTCGTCGAGGACGCGCCGCCGCTGGGCCGCCTCGACGAGTCCGAGTCGTCGGACCCCGACGCCTGGGCGAGCATGCCCGGCGCCGCCGCGCCCTTGCCGTTGAGGGCGCCCTGCGGCTGCTCCTCGCCGCCGAGGCGCGGCTGGCGCGACGCCGGCTTGGGAAAGTTGTCCAGGACGTTGGACGAGGCATTCAGCGTCTCGAGCTTGTTGGCCCACCACAGCTCCATCGGCAGCTTCTTCATGTTGTTGCCGCGGACGTCGAGCATGCGCAGCTCGGTCAGGCACCCGATGGTCGCCGGCAGCTCGCCGACCGAGTTGTTGGCGATGCTGAAGATCTCCAGCTTGCTCAGGTTTCCAATGTGCGCCGGCAGGGAGACAAAGTAGTTCCTGTCGAGGACGAGGCGTTCGAGGTTGAGCATGTGGTGGAAGGACTCGTCGATGCTCGCGAGCTGGCAGTTGGACAGGTTGAGCATCTTGAGGGTCAGCGCGGGCGCGACAATCTCAAAGGTGGCGATGGGGTTCGAGTTGAGTTTCAGACTCCGAATCCGCTCAAACGTGCCCGTAAACTTGGAGATGGAGTTGTGGTCGGCCGAGAGGATCTCGAGACGCGGCAGGTCGGCAATGACGGCAATGCTCGTGATGGCGTTGTACTTGATGTCGAGCTCGCGCAGCATGAACAGGCGGCTGAAGGTCGGCGGCAGCGCGTTGTTCAGTCTGTTGTTGGTGATGACGAACTTCTCGAGACTGCGCATGTTGGCGATGTCGTCGGGCAGGCTGCCGATCGAGTTGAAGCTGAGATCGAGCTCGACCAGGCTGTCGAGCGTGCACAAGAACTGGGGAAAGGTGTCGAGAAAGTTGGAGGAGATGTTGAGGTTGCGGAGCGACTGGTAGGCGCCAAAGTACGACGGCAGGTACTTGAGGCGGTTGTTGGCGAGGTTGAACTTGAGGATGCCCGTGAGGTTGTGAAGCTCGGCATGGTCGAGGTGCTCGAGGCGGTTGTTCGACACGTCGAGATAGGTGAGCTTGCTCGCCTTGCCCAGGCTCGGCGGCAGCTTCCGCGCCTCGTTGTTGTTGAACTTGATGTCGCGGAGGTTCTGGCACGACTGGATAAAGTCGCGCGGGAGGTCGAGAGAGAGGTTGCGCGAGAGGTTGAGGGAGATGATCTCGGCGGCCTTGGAGTAGAGGTTGATGGGAATGGTCACGAGGTTCCGCGCCGACAGGTCGACGTGGTTGTATTTCGCCATGCGTCCCAAGCCCAGATCGTTGGACAGCGAGTGGAAGTCGCTGTCCTTCTGGGAGAGGAACATGAAGCGGCAGAGGTAGCTGTTGTCCTCCCGTCCGACGTCTTCTATGCGGTCTTTGTCTTCGTAACCGACCTGCTGCAGCAAACGCTTCTGCATGAGGATGGGCCGTTCGGCGGGCGCGAGGACACGGACCAGGCCGTGTTTGTTCAGCGTGATCTGGAAGTTGTCCGGGCCCTCCTGCGCATACGACTTTTTGATAATCTGCGATATGACGTCGGCGACGGCGGCGTCCAGGGGCATGGACAGGGTCGAAAAGGTATTGTCCGTCTTGAAGATGCGAATGCAGTAGGGCGCCATCTTCTCGTCGGCGCGCGGCGGGCTGCCGATGTCGTCGACGTCGGGCTGCTGGTCCGTGTTGTCCTCCGTGTTGCGACGGACAGCCCAGCTGTCGGGCGCGTTCCACGAGCCGTTGGCGTTGGGCGCGGTCGAGGGGTTCGCCGCCGTGGCGTTGGCGGCTGCTATCGTGACGGGGGCGGTCGCGGTTGCGGCGGCGTCGGACGTGGGCGGTTTGACGAGGTCGTGCGCCGAGGCGGTGCCGGTGGCCGGGTTCTCGACGCGTTCGGGATCGACTATGTTGGTGATAAAGGTGTGGTCCATGGGGGTCAGGGGGGGAGGTTTCGTCAGAATGCCTTCCATGTCGTTCAGGTTCGTGTCGAGATGGAAGACGGTGCCAGCGCGGCCGCCCTCTCGGCGATCGGTGGGCCCGATCATGTCTTCCTCGACGCCGCGCATGACACGACCCTTTTTGGCAAAGGGGAACTTGTTGTTGAAGGTCGCCGCGCGCGGCTGCGGCGGCCGGCCATCTTGGGGTGCGCCGAACTGGTCGGTCGCGGGTGGCCAGTTGGGCGGGAAGGTAGCCGCAGCCTGCTGCTCGCCGGCGCCCCGCGCGACGTCGGCACGCGAGGCCTTGGAGGCGAGAGAGCGCGACGAGTCGTTCGTCGGCGTCGAGCGCAGGCGCGCCGTGGCGTCCTCCTTGTCCTTGTCCTTGTGCCGCCGGAAGCGACCGAGTATGCCCTTTTTCGTGCTGCTGTGGTTGTTGCTGTTGCTGTTGTTCGGCGACGTCTGGCCGTCGGGGGTCGATCCCGCCCTAGGGTTGAAGTAGCCCGTGTTGCTCATGCCGCTCGGGGTCGGGCTGTGGGCGCGCGACGACGCGCTGGCGCCGTAGAAGACGGTGGCGGCGGATCCGCCTCGTTCCCGCACGTTCTGCACGTGCAGGCTGGCCTGCGAATCTTCCCTGCTGGCCATGGGCCTCAAGGCGCGGCCATCGTCGATGCTTCGGTTGTGCCGGTGGTGATGCGAGGTGCCCTTGGTGGTGGAATGGCCGGAGCGGTTGGAGGAGGATGTCTTTGGTGGGCCCTGTGCGCTGTTCGGGTCCTCGCTGTTGATGTAGCGTTCGCGATCGGGGCCGGACAGGATTTCTCGAACGGGCGCTTCGCCGTATCTGGCGATGTCCTGTTTTGGGGGGGAAGAGGTGGGCGTTAGCACGAGTAGGCAACGGTCGGCGGCTATGATGAGGCACGACTGATTCAATCCAAAGGAAGGGGGGGAGTATCCAAAGGGGAGAGGATGAGGCACGACTGATTCAGTCCAAAAGTCCAAAGGGGGGAGGAGGAGGGGCTTCAACAGGACCGGGGTGGGTGCGGCTGCTTGGCCAAGAGCGGAGGCTGGTCCACGTTGGGGAGGAGCTTAAGAGTCAAGTCGTCGTCAAAGGAGGGTGCAGGGGTTGGAGAAATGCGGAGCAGCTATGGGCCTTGGGAGCGAATGGATGGAATGGGTAGCGGTCTTGGGTAGCAGCTTTTGGTGGCAGCTCGTGGATGGGCTTTGGGCAGCTCGTGGATGGGCTTTGGGGAACAGCTAGATGGATGGGCAAGGTTTTGGTAGCAAGGCTCTGGTAACAAGGCTTCGGTAGCAAGGCTTCGGTAGCAAGGCTTCGCTTTGAGTAGCAGCCTTGGGTGGCAGCCTTGGGTATGGAAATGTCGGGGGGCACAACGGCGAAGCTGGGCAGAAAGAGCACGTCAAGACTTACATCCGAGTTTTGGTAGAGGAAAGGAACAACCTCAGGCGCCGGCACCGGTGTCCTCGGTCGCGACGAGGCAGGCGAGGCGTCGCGCGTGTGGTCCGTCGCGTTGGAGTAGTTGCGTTCCCTCGTGGGGCGGCTGTGGCTGTAGGACCGCGATCGATCTTTCCCCGTGGCCGTGCCCGTACCTGTGCCTGTGCCTGCGCCTGTGAGGGACGACTGCAGGCTCGTCTCCGAGCCGTCGCGGCCGGGAAACTGCTCGCCGAAGAAGCCCTGCAGCTTCTGCATGCCGCCGCGGCGGACGCCGCTGTTGCGCGACCCCGTGCTGCTCGACGTGGCGATGCTCGCCAGCGAGGGCCGCCTGTCGTCGTTGTCAAAGGGCGCCATGTCGTGCTGCGCGTCGTGCGGCGGGAAGGACGGCACGGGGCGTATGGGGGCCGGTTGTCGGAAGACGGGCGACAGGGGCGACGCGAGGGCGGACGAGAGGTTGTCGCTCGAGTCGTTGTAGAAGCTCGTCGGGATCGGGCCGTCCTGGGGCGTCAGAGGGCCGCCGCCGCCGCCTCCTGCGAAAGGCGACATGCCGTCATCGTCGCCGCCGCTCGTCATCCAGGGCGCGACCTGGGCCATGGACGATGGGTGGCCCGACGGCGGGCTGTGTTGGATCTGGGGGAGGCGGTTGCCGGACGAGTCGAGCACGGCGAGGTCGCGGCGGTAGTCGCGCAGGTCGCTGATGCGGCGGGAGTTTCGTCGGGACGCGCTGGGCGCATGTGAAGACGAAGAGGAAGGCGTCGTCGAGATGGCCATGGGCGCGGCAGCACTTCGCGCGGCGGCAGGCGAGCCGGCGGGCGTGGCATTCGGTGCGGTGGACGCAGCAGCAGGCGGCGTCGAGCTCGAGATCGGCGTCATGATGGAGGAGGAGGAGGGAGCAGGGCCAGGCTGCTTGCTGGAGAGCCTAAAAGAAGCGCGGACGCAGGTTGCCGTCAGTTTGCAGGTCTTCGTGGCGCCGTTCCGTGGGCCGCCATGCTTTTTTCCCTTTCCCCTTTGCCTCCCATTTGCATTTCCATCCCCACGCCCCCCCCCCCCCCCCCCCCCCCTCCTGCCTCCTGCACTCCCTTGCTCTGGCGGCCGAGGGATCAGAGACAACGGCGGGCGGCGAATGTCTCACACGGCACGCACAAGCACCAACGAGGCACACAGGCACCAGCGAGGCACACCATGGCGATGAGGAGCGAGATGGAGGGAGACAGAGGGAGAGAGAGAGAGAGAGAAAGAGAGAGAGAGGGCTTCGGACAGGAGAAACTCACCTGGGTATGGTGGACATGCGACGATGGCTTCGCTCGTCGGCCTCGCGTCGAGCGGCGGCGGCGGCAGACACAGAGGCGGCAGCGGCGGCGGAGGGCGATGACGAGGAGACGGGTGTTACGGTGACGCCCGAGTGGGCGCTGTCGGCGCTGCTGCTCGTTGCGGAGCGAAAGCGGTCGCCGACCTCATGCCGGGTCATTGTGTGTGGGCCGTCGTGGCAGCGCGGAGGGCCATGCCATTCGGACGCGGAATTGCGTTGCTTGCTGCTTGCGTGCTCTGGTTGGCTTTGCTGTGTTCTTTTCTGTTCTGTTCTGTTGTGCTCTGCGCTGCTATGCTCTGCGCTGCGCTGCGCTGCTTCACTGTGCTCCTGACGAGCTTCGAGGTGTCAAGGGTTCGAGCGTGTACGCGTCCTGATGGACCACCGGGCAGGAGGAGGGGGCGCGCGAGGGGCGACCAGGACGGAGAGGAGGCAGCGGGCTGGCGGGGATCGAGGATCGAGTATCGATGATCGGGGGTCGTGGATCGGGTGAGGCGGGATGGCGGGATGGCGGGATGGCAAGGGCGCGCCGTGTCGAGTCGTCGTCGCTGATGGATAGAGGATCAGCAGGAGCGTGAAGTGACGAAAGAAAAGTCGATGATGGCGGCGATGTTGGATGGGTCGTGGTGTGTGTGTGTGGTGGTTCAGGTGTGTGGCCAAGACGTGTGGCCAGAACGGGTAAACTCTCGTGTCGGCGGCTCTGCTTTGGGTGGTCGTAGTGGTGGTGGTGGTGGTGGTAGTCGTACTGTCTGACTGGTCGTCGTCAATGTCTTCGTCTCATTTCATTGCTCCGAACGCGACTGGACCTACTTTGCTCCCCACACAGCGTCACGAAATGCGATGAAGCAGTGAGGTATGGCGCCCGACACACAAGGCCGAGGCAGAGATGTGGTGAGCAGGCGAAGCAATGGCGCAACGGGCAGGCTGACGAGGACGATTGCGCACCAGATGGATTGGAGGAGCTGAACAGCCAACACCACACACACACACACACACACACACACACACACACACACACACACATCCACTACACCATGGCCTTTCAGCTAAGCTACCGGTCCGGACAGGTTTCGGCCGCAGGGTGGAGAGTGGGAGGCCCGACCAGGGTCAGGTCCTTTTGGGCGAAGCCTGGTGAAGCGAACAAGGTGAGGCGGAGCTGGGGGTTGGGGCGCCCGTTGGCGCTGGCGCTGGCGCTGGTGCTGGCGCTGGATGCTCGGCGGGAGGAGGGCACATCCTCTGCTAGCGGGGTCCAGGAGGACCCTGTTGTGTGCATTGGGTCGTCGATACCTCCCTCCCAAGGTACCTTACCTAGGTACGATTGAGACGCTTTGTGCGTGCTCTGTCACTGTGCTCTGTCCATCGTGGTCGTTGTTGTGCAGAGCTCGCGCGCACGGCGCACGCGGGGACCCCGGCCATGCTGGTGATGTGCGGCAACTGGGACAAGCCCTGAAGGCCTGCGGGGCCGTCCTGAGGCCCTAGCTACCTACTCAGGTACCTACCTCTAGGCACCTGTCTGGGTGCCGTGCCTTACAGTAGAGGTACTTGTAGGCACCTCACGCAGGGTGACAGCAAGCGGCACTCCATCATCCAAATAAACCCCTACCCTACCTTCCTCTCTCCACTGAATGCACTGAATCTCTATCGAGTACATAATGGATGACATATGTGACATATGTAGGGATTGTGGTATTTTCTTTTGTCAGTTTTAACCCGATAGAACGTATCGTATCACGTTTCAAAATAAGCTCATGTTTTTCGAGGCGCCAGGTGGTCTGGTCATCAGCATCTGCACCTTGTCGAGAGCCACATCGCAAGCGCGGATCTAGGGGGCCTCGGAGCGAGAAGCGCTACGGGCCCAACACGGGTTAGCGACGGCACCATCGAGCGGGGATCACTGGGGCTCGAACGGGCCTGCTGGGTGGGTACCTCGGGATGCTGTTCAGAACTGGAGCAGCTCACTGAACCTCTTCGTCCACTGTGCTCTCCCTCTACTGTGCTCTCCCTCTACTGTGGTCTTCCTCTACTGTGCCGCCTCAGGGTTCTGTTGACCAGTTCGCGGATACACTCGTCCAAAATGGACAAAAACCATGGCCGCTCTACCAACCATGCTCACAAAAACACAGAACCGCGACAGCCGCGCCCTCATTGCTCATTGCCTGTGCTGCGGCCGCCGTGCATGGGGCCTCTCTTGTCTTGCGTGGGCCAGCTCGTCCGCAGCGCCCTGGTACGCCCTGTGCTCCTGTCATGTCCTACCTGGGTACCTAGGCACCCTGCCCTACACACCACAGCCCACAGCCCACAGCCCACAGACCACAGTCAGTCCACAACCACATGCAGTTCGCCCACAGCGCCGCGGCGGACAACGGCCACACCAGACAGGAGCTCAGACCCCCTTCGTCCCATCTTCTGCGACCGCCAGTCCGACACGCGCCCGGTGACAGCCCCATACCGCTGACAGCCCGCTGACAGCCCCATACGGCGACGGCAGCCCGGGACGGAGGCGGGCTGGGCGAGTCCGGGCCTTCATGAAACCAGGTGCTTTCCCCCCCCTGCCAACCTAGGTCCTGTCAGCTTGGGCACATACCTAGGCAAGGTACAGACGGCATCGTCTTCTGGTGGCTGGTCCTGCCATGTCGGTGATGGCGCGTTCGGCGTGCATAGAGAAAGCCGACAAAGGAAGCCGACACGGATCGCCGCCATCGTACCATTTGGTCGTCATCAACTTTCTTTTTTTTTTTTTTTTTTTTTTTTTGGGTTGCTGAGTGCTGCGTGCTGAGATGTGACAGGGACGTGTCTTGTTTGCCGTGCGTACCTAGCGCGGTGCAACTGCAAAGTGAGTTCCTTGCTACGGTCAGATGGGTAGATAAGGCTGAATGAGACATGTCTGACGCTCATGGGATGACAAGTCATCATTGACTGACGGGAGACATGCTGCCAAAATAGCGCGGAGGGACGACACGATTCAAGACAGCAGCATCTGGTGCCGGCCATGTCGTTTGCCTTGGTTTGTGACCTGGCAATGGACAGGCTCTATGTTATAGTACCTAGTACCTACCTGACCATAGGTACTATCGAGCTTGAGGTAAGGTACCTAAGTAAGGTACCTAGATAATAGGCAGGTAGGTAGGAGACTGGTAGCCTCACCAGGCACAGGCACAGCGGCCCGGCCTTTTACCCGATTCGGCCGGCTCCTTTCGTCGCTTCCTCGCCGCGTCAAGATCGTCAGCATCAACCTCCGCCCGCCAACATGGCTATTCCCCTTGTCGTACTGCCGACTGTCCTTCCCACGGTGCTCTCCCACTGCGCTCACACATGACTCCGGCTTCTCCCTCTCATGCTCGGCCTTTTCCCTCTTGTGGTGAGCCATGTCGTCTCTCTGCCCCCTCACAACGTCATCCACACAGGCAGACAGTCTAACCCCCGCCTCGGCCAGAACACCTCCCCCTCGGAGAAACCAACGAAGAACCGGGCCCGGACAGACTCCAGCACGGCTCCAGAAAACCCGCCGACGAACTAGATGGATCCTAGCCCGCTCTGATCCAAAAGCTCGTTCGTCATTCCTGCAACCGACCGCGGGGCCCCGCCTCATTGGTCCTCACTTTCGCAGAAATACTCGGAGAAACGGGCCCTCCTGCACAAAACCACGTACCATCGCCGCTGGCCGTCCGCCGCACGGCACGGGCTCAATCGGGCAATCGGGCAATCGGGCAATGTGACTATTTCAATGTCCTCTTGACTGAACGAACGCCGTCGAGTTCCGTCTGTCGCTTCACTTCCAATCCACCCCCCCGCCCACTCGCCTCGCCTCTCGTCGTCCCTCCTCTCGCCGCCCCCTCTCCTCGATCATCATGGCAGCAGCTCCGAACGGCGTCGTGCGCCAGAACGGCCACGCGAGGCAGCACCGCGCCTGGTGGAAGGAGAGCGCCGTCTACCAGATCTACCCGGCCAGCTTCCAGGACTCGACCGGCTCCGGCGTCGGTGATCTCAAGGGCATCACCTCGCGGGTCGACTACATGAAGGCGCTGGGCGTCGACATTGTCTGGCTGTCTCCCATCTTTGAGAGCCCGCAGATCGACATGGTACGGCCGCCGCCGCCTCGTGCCCTTTCCCTTCTCACACGCTGCCTCACGCGCTCCTCTCACACACCCTCCCCTCTGACAAGACACCCAACGCTAACGACGACCAGGGCTACGACATCAGCGACTACCGCAAGATTGACCCCCCCTACGGCACCATCGAGGACGTCGACGCCCTCAAGGACGCCCTCCACGCGCGCGGCATGAAGCTCGTCCTCGACCTCGTCGTCAACCACACGAGCGACCAGCACGAGTGGTTCAAGCAGTCGCGCTCCTCCAAGGACAGCCCCTACCGCGACTGGTACATCTGGCGCCCCGCCCGCTACGACGCCGACGGCACCCGCCACCCGCCCAACAACTGGGACGCCCACTTCCAGGGCAGCGCCTGGGAGTGGGACGAGCACACGCAGGAGTACTACCTGCACCTCTTCTGCACCGAGCAGCCCGACCTCAACTGGGAGAACCCGGCCGTGCGCGACGCCGTCCACGCCATCATGCGCTTCTGGCTCGACCGCGGCGCCGACGGCTTCCGCCTCGACGTCATAAACTTTATCAGCAAGGACCAGGCCTTCCCCGACTCGGACCGCACCGTCCTCCGCGGCGCCGAGCACTACGCCGCCGGGCCCCGCCTGCACGAGTACCTCGCCGAGCTCGGCGCCATCCTCCGCGAGTACGACGCCTTTAGCGTCGGCGAGATGCCCTGCGTCACCGACACGAACGAGGTCATCAAGAGCGTCAGGGCCGACCGCGGCGAGCTCAGCATGATCTTCCACTTTGAGTTGTAAGTCCGGGGGGCGCACGCGCTGTGTGGCGCGACGGAGAAAAGAGAAAAGAAGACCTCGACTGACCAGCACAGTGTCGACCTCGACCACGGCGACCAGGGCAAGTTCTCGCCGCGCGCGTGGCCGCTCGCCGACTTCCGCGCCGTCGCCGACAAGTGGCAGCGCTTCATGTACGTCAACGACGGGTGGAACGCCCTCTACCTCGAGAACCACGACCAGCCGCGCGCCGTCAGCCGCTTCGCCAGCGACGCGCCCGCCCACCGCGCCGACGCCGCCAAGATGATCGCCATGGTGCAGGCGCTGCAGGGTGGCACGCCCTTTGTCTACCAGGGGCAGGAGCTCGGCATGCACAATATCCCCAAGGAGTGGGGGATGGAAGAGTACAAGGACGTCGACTGCCTGAACCACTGGAAGTGCGCATCTCTCCCCTCTCCTGACTCCGTGCCCCCCCCCCCCCCCCCCCCCAATGCTGACGGACGTGCTCCAGCCTCTACAAGGACTCGCCCGACGAGAAGCGCAAGGCCGCCCTCCGCGTCGAGTACCAGAAGAAGTCGCGCGACAACGCCCGCACCCCGATGCAGTGGACCGCCGGCCCCCACGCCGGCTTCACGACCCCCGACGCGACGCCCTGGATGCGCGTGCACCCCAACCACACCGTCATCAACGCCGACGCCCAGGTCCACGACCCGGCCTCCGTCTTTGCCTGCTGGCGCACGGTGCTCGACACCCGCAAGACGCACAAGGACGTCTTTGTGTACGGCGACTTTGCGCTCGTCGACGACGACCACGACAAGATTTTCGCCTACGCGCGGACCGCCGACGACGGCGCGACGGCCGTCGTCGCGGCCAACTTCTCCGCCGACGAGGTCGTCTGGGAGGGCTTCAAGGGCAGGACCGTCGCCGCGGTGCTCGTCACGAACAAGGGGCGGACCGTCGACGCGTTGGCCGGCGATGCCGTCACGCTGGCGCCGTATGAGGGTGTTGCTGTCCTGCTGGGCTGAGGGGCCTGGGTGCTGCTGCTGCTGCGGCGTCGGAAGCGCAAGGGAAGGGAAGAGCGAGGCTAGACTTATGACTGCATGAAAATGGGTAACAAGGGATGTATAGACGGAGGGTTCATTCCCAAGACGAGTTTCCTTCAACGCCGAGACGCATGGCTGTCGCGTGACTCTGACCACGACGAGAAGTGCACATGGAAACATCAGTTCGTTCGCTGCCGGATCACATCATGCCACCCGAGCCGCTCGTCGTTATTTCAGCCATTGCTGGCTCTCGCATCATGTACTACCGACTGGACATGGTATGGTACTGTCTCCTCTCGTGGTCCCGTCCTAGTATACAGCCGAGGAAGGCCCCTCCTCCCCTCCTCACGTAAAGACATTGTCATCGCTGTCGTCGTCTGCTTCGCCCATGTCGACCACGACATCCCCAATCTCCTCGTGCAGCAGGTCGCCGATCAGTACGCTCTCCTCGAGCACGGCGCGCGCCTCGTCGGCCCCGACGGCCAGGTCCTCCATGATGAGCCGCGACGCGAGCTCGGGCACGAGCACGGTGGACACGAAGACGGCGCTGCCGCGCGCGGCGACGAGCTCGTCCTCGACGGCGCGGCGGCGCAGCGCCGACGCGAACCGGCTGATGAGGTGCTCCGACATGACGCGCAGGCCGCGCGGGCCGTAGTAGCCCGGCGCCAGGCTGCGCTCCGTCGTGCGCAGCGTGCGCTCGCGGCCGTCGGAGACCTTGTCGGCGAGGACCGACCTGTAGTGCGAGGCGTCGCCGTGGACGATGCGCTGGAGAGCCCCGTCGTGCGCGGCGAACCGCGACGGCAGCGCCTCCCAGTCGATGTCCGGGTAGCCCTTTTCGAGCCAGGTGGCCCTGGCCGTCTTGGCGTTGTGGAGGCGGCAGAACTTGATCTGCTGGTTGATGCTGAGCGGCCGGCCTTTGGCGAAGGCGCGCAGCAGTTCCTCGTCGACGGCCAAATCACACATGGGGCACTTGGCCGAGGTTGCCCTGGTGGGCCTGACATGGCTGTCCTCCTCCTGATCTTCTTCGTCGTTGTCGTCATCGTCATCGCTCGCCAGGCTCAGGGTGCCCGGCGACGTGGCTTCATAGGGACCTTCGTGCGAGTCGTCGAGGCCCATGCCGGGGAGGCTCGCCGGTAACCTGAACGTGCTTCCGGCGACGAAGACCTTGGGTTCTTGGAGGGCTTCTGCCTTTTTCGCCTTTTTTCGTCGACCTGATAGCCGAATAGCAGGCTTGCCCTGCGGGGGCACATAGGGTACGGACAAGTCATTCTGGCGAGGGGCAGGAACCGATTTGCCTGGGAGTAGTTCGGGCTTCTTATATGTTGGGCGTTTCGGGAACGCGTCCAGAGGTAGTGGCACACACTTTTTGTAGCCGGTTTTACTTACCGGCTTGTGATCTGGACTTGTGGGTAGCGAGTCGGGTTCTTTGAATCTTGAGCTCCTCCTTTTCGGGATCCTCTCAGAGTCCTCACCTGATGGGCTCATGGGTAGAGCATCAGGGGCTCTATACGATGTCTTTCTGCGAGTTCCATTCCGTGACGAAGATGGGGCAGCGTCGGGGCTCGCTCCCGGCGTTGTTGACTTCGTGCCAAGACCTGTTTCCTTCTTGGTCCCTCGTTCGCCGTATTTCCTCTGACTGGCTTTGACCTTGGTCTGGTGGAAGACATCCTCAAGATGGCGCCCGCCAGTCCCCTGTTCGCGCGGCGAAGACGCCCTCCGCTTGGCGCTTCGTTCGGCGAGAACGTCGGCATCGTCTGACAAGTCTGCATGGTCTCGCTTGCGGCTGGCTGCGCTCTTGGACTTGAGATTGGCGTCCCTACTGCGCAATGGTCCCTGTCTAGACTCGTCTCGGCCGCCGCCGGCGGTGGTTCGTCCTCGGTCTCCGTGGAACTTGGTTCGTTTGATGTCGCCCCGCGCCGCCGGGCCATCGTCACTGTCAGAGTCGAATCCACTGTGATTCCAGTCTTGTGATGCGCCGGCGCTCCTTCCCCGCCTCGCCTCAGCTTCAGGGCTCGCGTCGCGCTTCGGGCTCCTATCCCCTGCTGCTGACATGGTGTCTGAACTCTCATCACACGAAGAGCTTAGAGGAGCGGCGTAGATGTCTTCCGGTGTCTCGATGGGCTCCGGCTTCCGCTCTGGGGCTCTCTCGACCTTCTTTCCGTTGACCTGGCTCAGGAGGGGTTTGACCCCCCTGGCCGTCAGCCCCGGTGCCCTGCGTTGAAAGTGCATGCCTGGGCTGTTTTTGTGGTTCATGACATGATGGTGTGTGCGACGAGGACCCAGACAACCAGCGATGCAGCCGTGATGGGACAAACAAGCCAGTACGAGTAAGGTATCCGGTACCCTTGAGTACCTTACCCTAGACAGGGTGGCGAAGTCTCGCTGACGGCGTAACCGCGAGGCGTGTGCAGACGCTTTCACAGGAAGAAACCAAATACAAGATGGAACCGAGTCGAAAGAGCAGTGGCTCGCGGTAGCTTCAATGGCGTTTGATGAGACGTGATGAGGTCGAAGACGACGTTGGTCGCGTGAAGCGGAGGTTCTTGCCAAGCCTAGTGCGAACCCTCATGTGAGACGCGTTGCACTCCACCACAGTAGCAACCCACCGTGCCGATTGAGGTGCATGTAGGCAGATGCATACACTGTGCATTAGCGCAATGACGCCTCTCGTCCCTCGCCTAGGTACCCACCTAGGCACCCACCTAGGCACCCCTGGGCAGGGGAGCTTGGGCGGCGCCAACCCCTGAAGCCCTGCGGCGCCCTGAAGCCGTGCGCCGCCCTGAAGCCCTGCGGCTCTGCGAATCTACACCAGCCAGCCTCGGAGGCTTGCATCTGCCAAACAACGTCCCATCTTTCCGCTACCTACCTTCACCCAAGGTAGGTACTACATGCAAACAGCATCGTCATCACCTTCCTTTTCTCCCTCGATGGCATAAATCATTGCAGCCGAAGCACAAACATCCCCTCTGGCTCCAGAAACCCACGCAATGGCGCTCAATCGCAAATACGCCAACCTGCCCGACCTGGTTCGCTCGTTCCCAGCCTTGGGGTATCCATCACAGGAGCTGACAGGCCTCAGGACTCGGCACCTGACATTTACGAAACACCAGACCTCACCGACGACATTTCGACTGCGCCTGTATGCTTCTGCCTGCGTCATGTGCCGCTGTTCCAGTGACTGACCCACACAGACCACCACAGGACCCTCGCAATCCGATGACGAGTTCGACGACGATGACGACGCCCCTGGCATTTCCCGCTCTCGGCTACGCATAGACGAGGCAAGGTCCCGTTTCCTGCCATCCAGCGTTGACGCCTCGGCAGCCGACTTCTCCGACCGCGTCGACGGCAAGCGCAAGTCCTACAAAACGACGACGCGGCGGCAGCGAATCCTGGAGGATGGCACGACCGAGATTGGGGACCTAAGCGATGAAGACGACGAGGAGCACCTCGACCGGAAGATCGCGAGGCTTCAGCGGGAAATCGCCGAAGCCAAAGAAGAGTTTGGCAGGAAAAAGGCCGCCGCCGCTACACAGCCAGCCATCGCCGCCAGCGACGCGCAGGAACAGAAGCTGGCCTCCCTGAGCCAGGTCATTGACGAGATCTCCCGGAGCATCGAACCGCATGCCGGCGTCGCGCCCTCGCAAAGGCCGCTGCCGCAGGCAGGCACCGAGGTGCAGCCAGAGGGCCTGCCCGCCACGGGGACCGCTTCCTACACGATCACATACGCGCCGACCTACGAGCAGAGCCACGCGCTGGCCAAGGCGGCCGACTTTGACAGACGCCTCGTCCTCCTCGAGAAAGGCATCGGCATCGGCTCGGCCGCCCTGCCGGAAGCCGACACCAACGGTCTGCCGCGCGCCATCCTGCCGACCCTCGACGCGCTGCAGAGGCAGATTGTCACGCTGTCCCAGGCGTCGACGTCGAACCTCGACGCCATTACGCGGCGCGTCCGCACCCTGACGCAGGAGGCCCACCAGCTCGAAAAGGCGCGGCAGGGCGCCAAGGCCGCGCGGGAATCCCTCGGCGGTGGCAGCCCTTCCTCCGCCGAAGACGCCGAGGACTCGGAGCAGACGGCCAAGATCAACGCCCTCTACGGCACGCTGCCTACCATTGAAAGCCTGGCGCCCCTGCTGCCGCCGCTCCTCGACCGGTTGCGGTCCTTGCGCGCCGTGCACGCGGACGCCGCGTCCGCGAGCGAGTTTCTCGAGCGCATCGAGAAGCAGCAGGCCGACATGACGGCCGACATGAAGCAGTGGCGGGAGGGTCTGGACAAGGTCGAAGAGGCCGTCCGCGAGGGCGGCGCCACGATGAGCGGGAACATGAAGGTCATCGAGGGGTGGGTGAAGGACCTCGAGGGGCGCGTGGCGAAGCTGCCGTGATGTGCTAGCTGTGAAGATACCCTTGCCTGAAGCATCTACGCATGCGTCTGTCTATGTTTGTTCGTCCGTCCAGGTGAATCAGTGCACTTGAGGCCTGCTTTTTATAAAGTATGAGCCTGTGCTTGTTGGTTGCAGATTTGTTGAGCAGCTACGAAAGCGTTCTGTGTTGGGACTGAGGCAGTCGCATTTCGCATGGGGTACTTGTCGACGGCCTACTCACCCCATCTGGTAGTAGTTTGGCGTCATTGAGCTCATCAGCACTCTCATCCCATGTCACAGTCCCTTCACCGTCAAGCCATGTAGTGTGACAACATGCATAGACTCGGTGTTGAAACATAGTCGAATTAATCTAATGTCATGGAGGTTTGAGAAGTGGAGGCGAAAGTGAGAATCGTGAGCCAGATTTTGTTCGCCCGTCGAGATGCTTTCGATACCTACCTAGATACCGGAAACTTCATTGAGTTTCCGAGCAGGGTCGACAGTGATTAGTATTCATCTTGTGTTCATGTCGCGATACCTCATAAGCTACTAGCAATTTCAACAGCATGGATTCCAATACAATATAAACAAACGTTCCGTACCAGTCATGTCTCTGTGATTCGCATGGTGCAAGCTGCTTGAATACACCTAGCCTGCGCCCCGAGTGAGCGTGTCCAGTGGAGCGCCTCCGTCGTTGCTGTGACGCCAGCCCATCACGAGGTCACATGACCTCCCCCACCTAAATTTTACTACATCTTTCTTCCGCTCGCAAACACTTTTTCGTCTCTTTTCCTCACCAACAACAATCAGGATTCTGGGAAAACACCCTGAGCACTAGCACGTTTGTGCTTAACACCAGCCGGTAAGCATTGCCTCCATTTCTTCCTCACACATCCCCCTCTGGTATGATGAACATCAAAAGCATGTATTACCTGAATCCTTTGATGAACCAAATTTATCACCAAGATCTCTGATCCAGTCTCTCGCCCGCTATTTTTTCTTTCTGCATTGTCAATCGTAAAGCAGCGTGCTAATCCTGCATTACTAGGCTACCAGCACAAGTACCACAACCATGAGCTCCACAGGTCGGCCGCCCAGCGGCCACTTCAACATCCTGTACTTCGCAGGTGCAAGCTCCTACACCGCGAAGGACCAGGAGGCTCTTCCCGCCCCTCTTCCTCTCGGTCGCCTCTTTGATACCCTCGAGGAGAGGTACAGTGGGATCAAGTCCAAGATTCTTGATTCGTGCCTGGTCACAATCAACCTTGATTACGTAGATTTACCTAAACCCGGAGAGGATGGTGCCATGATTAAGGAGGGTGATGAGGTGGCCATCATCCCGCCGGTCAGCTCGGGATGAGGTCGAAATGCACAGGATCCGCAAGTCGACCTCGAGTGCCACTATCCACTGGATGCCACCGCAATCCCGCCCTCTCTTGCCCCCAACCTGCCCTCGTCGGGAAGCAGCGGCTCGGCCTCGCCGCTGCGACTCGATCTAAACCTGTTCCACCTGTGACGTCCAGCCTTACCCCAGCGCCATGCACGGCGGCACGCGAACACTGTAGCCACGGCCAGCAGGAGGAAGACGAGCGTCGACGCGATGGAGATGACGCCCGTAAGCCCCGTGATGGTCGACACCTGGCAACCCAGCGGCCTCGTGCGCATCTCCCAGCGCTCCTCGCGATACGGGCATATGCCCTCGTCGTACGCCGGCGCCAGCAGCGGGATCGGGTACGCGTTTGGGACGCACGCCCATGTCTGGATCACTTGTCAGCCATGTGTTACCTTTTAAAAATCACTGGCGCTTGCGCTCACGAGGGGACACCAGCCGCACTGCGGCTCACTGAGGCACTTGTGGCACTCGGCATTGCGCCAGCAGCGGTAGAAGTGTTCACGGTCGCCTTCGCGGACGGTAAAGTTGTCGCGCAGCGCCTGCAAATCGGCGGCGAGGACAGTACTGGGTGCATCCATTCGTCCCAATGTTCAATCCGGCAAGTGAAGCCTTCCTCGGTGATGGCGGAGATGCAGGCTTGCTCGTCGTCGGTGGAGTGAGGTCTGCTGTTGCCTGATGTTTCGGTCAGTCCTGTGGCTGGGTTGTGGCTGGGCTGCCATCAGCCACCAAGTCGACGTTCGGTGCAAGTCAGCTTGCATCGTTGGATGAAGTATGAGGGAGCTGAAAACCGGACAGAAGAAGGAATTGGACTGTTCGAGACAATCTCAATAAAAGTCAATGAGAACTTCAGCTGCTATCGCTGGCGTCCTTGACATCTACGTTTCGGAATGTCGCAGGTGAAGGCGATTTTGAACAATGCGTTGGGCTATTTTGCTGCGCAGGTCTGACACCACAGATCCAACAACAACTGACTACGATGGCACAACCAGTCCTCACTACTTCATATTCCCATTATGCTCTATAAGAGACTTGTCTGAGAAGGTCTTGTGAATTCGACGGACTGAAAACATCGTTTGATAATGATGATGCAATATGAATCTACAATGCTGTGTAGAAGCACGAGTAACAGGATGCTAGAGCAAGTTTTTGGACGGCTTAATGCCCCTAGATTTCGGCTTCAATCGCTGTTGATATTCTCCTCGATGAACACCTTAGACTGCTAACCAGCAATCATGGTATCGCCGCCCTCATTGCTAGGATGCTGCCTTTCACGCCACGGTTCGGGACACCTTCAAGTATCGATTTGCTGTGGAGACTTAGGAGTAGTACTGCAAGCTTGTAGTTATGCTTTGTTAAAAGCATTCGTAGAAGGCTGGCTTCAAGTGCCTACGGATGGAGTATTCTCAAGCATATTCAGAGACGCCATGAGTAGTTCTGCGTATTGCATTTGGTCATTCACCGCTGTTCAAATCCAAATACATGTCTCTTTCACGTGAGCTTGATTGTGTACGCCTAGTTGCTAGCCCTGTGAACGAAATCTCTTGCTAAAAAATAACACGGCGGGAGTCATTTTCTTCAGCAGACTGTTCCACGGGTGAGATCAACCGTGTTGCATTGCGCAACTATCAAGAAGCCAAATCATTTTCTCGACAAATAGATTCAGTAAGCATCTAGGCGAGAATCGGTTCCAAAAGGCGCACGGGTACTCCAGCTGGCTCTTGGGTGCAGCCTTGTTTTGCAGGTCTGAGATCTGCAGGATGGTCATCTCGGAAAGGTGAACAAACCAGTGCGTGAGGGATCGCATTCTGTGGGTTAAAAATGACCGGATTGCTCACGGTCATGCACTGCCACCTAACCATTTATCCAGAACTTCTTTTGAATGGTACCGAATCATCGGACCAGCCGTGGAGCGCATCGTCCCACCGGGAAGCGCCAAGATCTATCCTCGTCTATACCACAGATACAGGAACAAAATGCACACTCCAAACCTAAAGCATCACAATTCTGTGGCCTCTCCCCCAGGCTAGGACACTCACAAACATGATCTTCAGACATGCAAGTTGCGAGGATTGACCTGGCCACAATGAATCATAGCCGGCAAACGATCATGCCTGTCAGACGCCGAGATCATCCGGTTATCGGGTGCCTGCTAGACAGGGAGGCAAGTCCCCGGTGGTGGCGATGGTCCAGGCCTCACACATCCCTCTCATCTTCCCAGTCTTGATGGAGGAGCATGCCTAGGCCGGTCGCTTGGTCGTGAACAACCAAGCGCAGCATTGCCTTCTGCCAACGGGCTCCCTCAGCTACTGACCCGCTCATTCTGGTCCAGCCAGTCGGGCGGCAAAATTGCACAGCGCCCAGACTCGGTTCGGCCCACGGTCGGACATTCGAAGGCTTGAGCCATGCCTGGGCATGGGCAGCCAAGAAGGCCAGGCTGGGCAGGCAGGTCATCTTTTCTCGTCCCAACGTGATGGATGGGACAACAACCAACAGCTGAGCCCTTTGTGCATATGGCCCATGCCGATCATATCCACTGGAAATGCCTTGGGGCCGTAACAATATGCCCAGGCGAGCACGCAGCTTGGCTTCACAAGCTTTGGCTGTGGGTCACAAAAACGACCGGGCCCTGGGGAATGCATCGTACTCGAAGAGCCTCCGCTCATGGCGTCTCTCTGTTGGATTGCAGTTCACAATCATTGCGAGCCTCCGTATGAAAGCCATCTGTGAGTTCGTATCTGAGGCATGTTCCAAGGAGAAAATAAGTGCTGTAACTTATGTGATGGAACATAGGACAGGACTGATGCTGTGCCATGCAACCACAGCCAGCGAGGCACACATGCTTTTGACAAGATGCTGAGCTCGTGTGACACACAACCGGATTCCCCATGAATCTGGGCCTTGACTCGATCGCCGTGAAACGACATGATCGAACTTTGATCTAAAAGGCTTACATGGTGGTGTTGACGGTGCCAGGCAGTTGCCGTCACCTGACTCGGCCCCAAGGAGCGAGTGCTTGGGCAGGCGCCAGGGAAGGCACAGTCCGGGTGTACTTGACAAGATTTACCCTGGTGGATTGGCTTGTACATTGTACCCCAAAACAGGTGCCCATTTTTTGGGCTGTTTATCCTCCCAGCCTAAATTCAACCCCAGTCATCATCTGTGCCTCCTCCCTCCACGCGACATTACAGCATTCGAACCCAAACTTACACCCATCAATGTTCCTCTAGCGAGCATCACGATTCATGGCCGAACGAGAGGCTGAAAGCAAGAAAAGGAAGAGAGACAGCTGCAACTGCTGGTGTCTCACCGAGGCCAACACATGGTCAATACGCACCAAACCATCCTTCTATGTGACCTAGGAACTTCGGCCCTCACTTCCTGCATTGTGCTTGTGCGTGCTCGTGCCTTGCCTACGCCCACACCGGGGCAAGATCTTTGTTCAGTGGACCCCGAGGCTCCTCCAGCCCACATGGGAGCTACCGAGACCGAGCAACGTCGGTCAGCAACAAGCAACGGCCAAGCAGTAGCCAAGGAAACACCTGCTGGAACCAATTTGGATAGCCTCGGTTCCTCGGCCTTGCGACCGGCCTGTGCTACATTGAGGCATCCCATCGGTGTTCTTGGCTTC